CTCTTCATTTTCGCCCCTGCCTCGACGCCCCCTCCGCCCCCTGCTGCCTCGTTGCGCCCGATCGCTCCGAGGCCAGGGCCATCGCGGAGGCGGAGGAGCTGGTCAAGAAGGAGCTCGCCGCCAGGGCGCGCGGCGAGTTATTCGCGCTACGACTCTTCAACTCTCCAGGCCAACGGGGCGGCCTCGGGATAACAAAAAGGTCGTGGCGGATATGCCGCCTCGTGGCGGATATGCCGCCTTGTAGCGCAGCCTCCTCGCCTTCCAACTCGTGGCGGACATGCCGCCCCCGCCCCACCCCTTTGCGCTCCTCCGCCCTTCAGGCGGACATGCCGCCGCCCCCCTCCCCTACTCGGCCCACTCCGCGCCCCCGCGCCACGTCCCTGCGCCCACCTCTCCGCTGTCAGGCACTGGATCCCACGCCAACTAACGTCGGGGAGACGCCCACTGCTCGAACGGCGAAGGCGTTCACCCAGAATGGCATGGGCGCGCGCGAAGGCACTGACGTTGCCACCGCCCTTTTAACGACGAAAACAAGTGAACCAAAACCTGCACATTCAAAGGGACAACCATATTCACAGTTATATTTCCTGGTTTTCCCAATGGTCACCCTCACGCTGCTGCCCCCTCCCCCGAGACCCCGTCGCAAGAACCAGCGGGGCCCTTCTGAGAGGCCCCCGAGGGCTCGAGGAGCTCCAAGACTTCAATGGGTCCATGGGCAACCCCCCCCCCTCCTCCCGAAGTCTCGCTTCCGCGTCCGATTCCATTTCGGTTCAAGCCCGCGGCCCGCGGGCGCCCGCGAGCTCGCGCGGGGTCGCCCCCCCCTTTCGCGCCGACGCGGGGGCTGGGGCCCGCGCGCCGAGGCTGCGCCGCAGCCACCGCGTCGCGCTCGGCGCCTCGCACTGCGGCCGCGGTCATGGCAAACAGCGGCAGCGCGTTCGACGCGTTGGAGGCAGCTGCATCGCCAAACCAAGTGGCCCCGCGTGCGGTCGCCAGGGGCGCGCGCATCGCGCGCGAAACTGGCTGGCCGCTCTCGGTCGAACTGTTTTGGCGATTCGGCGCAGGAGATGTTCGGGCCGGCGATGCAGTTGCTCTCCGACCCTGCGGGCGTGGACAACAACGCAGGGGATCGGTCTTCCTCCGCCAGCGGCAGTCAGCCAGCCAGCGCGCCCACGTTGGCGGCGCAGCCAGCGCGATCGCGCAGCCCGCGGGCACCGAAGACGCCGCCGCGTAGGCGGGGGCCGACGTCGCCGCCGCGGGACCCGCGGCAGCGGCCTTTCCGCGCCACCCCGCCCTCAGCTCTCGTGCAGGAGCTCGCGACGCACATGCGCCACGCGACGCCTGTGGTGGAGGAGCCTCCCGAGGCGGTGGAGGCGCCCCCCAACGCGGTGGAGGCGTTCAGGACGCAGCTGCGAGCATGGCTGAGCGACCCCGTTGGGAATCCAATCGACTGGCGGTCGGAGAACGTGCTCGCCGCGCTCAAGGAGTACCAGATGAAGTACGATTACAAGAAGTTCCGCGACCGCGGCCCGCCTGGCCCCGCCATGGGCGGGCCGCAGACGTGGCAGGGCCAGGCGCTGCGCGCCAATGCGAAGCGCTGGGGGAACCGAGGTGGCGCAAAGCGCGAGATGTTTGCGAGGCTACACGGCAGCAAGGCAGCGCCGCGGGTGCGCGAGGCGCACGCCCCCAGGCCTCAGCTGACGCCGCGGGAGCCCAAGGCGCCGAACTTGCCCAAGGCGCAGCCTCAGCAGGCGCCGTGGAGGGCCACTGGCAAGATGAACCCTCCAGCTCCGCCCCCGCCGCGGAAGGCCATGGGGCCGCCGCCGCCGCCGAAGACAAGCATGGGGCCGCTGAAGACCACGCAGCCGCCAACGAGGAAGACCAGCATGGTGCAGCCGAGGGCAAGGGGTCGGCTGCAGCCGACATGCAAGATGGCACCACCGCCAGCGAAGCCGATGCCGACGCCCGCCGCGAACCGCCCAAATGTCTTCTTGTAGGGTGATCGTGTGGACCTGCAAGCGGGCTGAGGTGCATAGCTTCCGTAATTCGAGCGCGGATAGCTGACGCGCCGCCTCTCCCCGCCCCGTCTCATATCATCTCCCCTCCCCTCTCTTCGTTGCCGATCTATCTCATTGGCGGGCGCGCCGCCTCTCCCCGCCTGGCGGACAACCGCCGTGCAGATTAGCATCGGCGCATCGGGTTTGTTCTATGCGATTGGAAAAAAAACACCAGTCCTTCCCTGAGCCATCCATTGGCTGCTAAGCCGCACTGATGCCTCCCTTGGCGGCCACGCCGCCCTCGGCCCTCCATTGGCGGCTAAACCGCCGCCGCCGCCTGCTGTCATCCCGAAATTTGCGATGCCACCGCGCCTCTCACACAAGTTTTTTTTTGTTGTTGGGACGCTGTATCGGCCCGAATCTAGGCGCGCACAGGCTCGCGGCCCAGCGGCTTCAGTGCTAGCCGCGGCTCGCGGCTCGGCGGCGCCGCTGCCATGGCAGGCCAGCAGAGCCAGCAGAAGTGCATCATGTTCGGCTTAGAGTGCCCACAGAACAGCCTCTGCAAAAAGGGAGGCAAGTGGTTCCAGGGAGAGACAGAGGAGGTGGCCAGGGACAAGCTTGCGCACCACCTTCGCGTGTCGCCGTACCACGACTTGAGCGAGACGAAAAGCGGAGGTAGACTCTCTAATCGCACTCGAGGCCGTCTCGTGGAAAGTCGAACCTCGCGGAAGTGGCGGCAAATTGGAGAGGATAAAGCGCAACTGGGCAATCCGCCAAAAGGCGCAAGGGGGCGCCGAAGGTCGAGCTGGCGTCAATCCCTCCACAATCCCGCGTGGAGCGCTCGAACCAGCTGAAGGGCGCGTTCGCGGAGGGCAGCGGATCTTCAGGCGCCGCTTCGTCCGCAGCCACGGCGGGCACGAGGATGCCCACGGCGTTGGCCAGCCAGATGTCGCCCGATAGCATCGTGGTGCTCAACGGCACCCAGTGCCAGGCTGTGCTCGACTCGTTGCGCCGCGCGCGTACTGCGACGCAGATGCGCGGCCAGATAGCGGAGCGCGCGGTGAACGCTTTCCGCCAAGAGGAGGCTTGCATCGCCGAGTGCGAGGACGCGCTCGCGAGCTGGCTGGTGCGCTACGCGACCTCGTAGCGACCTCCTCGTGCGGCGCAGGTGCACGGCTGGCAGCACTGATGTCGCCTCAGCATCAGTAGCCTCGTTCGCGCAGGCGGCGCGACGCGTCGGCCCTGCACGCCCCCCCCCCGCTGCTCCGACGCAATTTCAATCCACGCCCCTGTGTCAGAACAAATTAGGACATCCCCAAACACTCCATCCGCACTCAATTCGTGAAGGCCGCCACGCGGAGGTCAGTTTTTGCCATGCAGGCGGCCGAGTAGCCGCCCCCCAATGCAAGGCGATAGGGGGGCGAGTGGACGAACGGAGCGGGAGGAAGGTGAGGGGACTTTGGCGGATAAGACAGGTGGGCGGGTGGATGGGATTTGGCAAAAGGGTTGGATGGAGAAAACTGCATCCGCATAAGAATGAGCGCGGCGATTTTTTGGATGCGCTGCATCACCATGTCCGCCCACCCCCCCATTCGCCTTGCATATGATGACGCTCAGGCAGCGCGCCCCGATGCGCGCGCTCTCGCCCGGCGTCTCTTCGCATTGCCGCTCAGGCAGTCGCGCCTCGCTTTTTTTTATTTTTTTTTCCCCGGGGGCGCTCGCCGTCTTTCGCTGCGCTCAGCAGCGGTTTTGAAGCACGCGGCGCGTCGCGGTCGGTAGCGCAGGCGCCCGCTCCGCCCATGCTGCTCCGACTTAACTAAAACTCGGCGGACGTGCCGATACGCCGCCGCCATGCACTGTGGCAAAAAAAAAGTTGGCTGTTATATATGTTTGCAGATGTTATCACGCGCCTGATAAACACCTGATAAACACTGGAACAACTGAGAAACATGTTATCAGTGTTATATGTGTTAGCATGGTGTTATCACACGCCTGATAACATATGATAACATATGATAACATGATGTCAATTTTGTGTGGTTGTCATGTTGCGCGCAATTCATTTCAGTATCCGTATCACCTCGTGCGTCCGCCACGCTTCGAGCGGCTAGTCCGCTGGCGGCCAATCCGCCCCCCTCGCCGCGCCCCTGCACCCTCTCAAGCGGCGAGTCCGCTGGCGGATATGCCGCCCCCTTCATACCTCACTCCACCCCTCCCTCCACCTTTGAAGCGGCTATTCCGCTGGCGGCTATCCCGCCTCACTTACCGCGCGTTTTCTTCGTCATCGCTTCGCGTCCATCTCATCTTGACAACATTTCTCTCGACAGCACGCGGCCGCGCGCGACGCGCGGCTTCTCGCGCGTCAAGGCGGTCGCGCCGCCAGTGGCGGGGGCGCCGCCCGCTGAACATCACCAGCAGCATTCTCTGGCACTGATGTTCGCAGCAGCCAGGCCGAAAAACAAGGGAGCGATGACCGAGGCGCCCGCAGCGAAGCCCCGTGGGAAAGCTAAGCCATCGGGGACGCAGATGACACTGACTGGAAAGCTTGTGCCGCCGCTCGCATTGACCGATGCAGGGCCGCCGAAGGCATGCGGGAAAAGCAAAGGCAAGGGCAAAGGTAAGCACCCCTCAGCGTTGAGGAGGACGGCTCGCAAAGCTGCGTCAGCCGCAGCTTCCGCCGAGGAACTGCCTCCTCAGGGCGCAGCGGCTTTGCCACCAGAGCCGGACGACGCAGCGTCAGAGGCGGCATCGGGCTCCGAGGAGCGCGGCGACGAGATTGGTTCCGAGCCCGGCGTCAAACAGAAGGAGCTTGAAAGTGCCGAGCGTGAGCTTGAGGAGGAAGAGGCTCCACCGCAGGGCGTGGTAGCCAAGGTTGAGAGGCGCTCGCCCGATGCTGCGCGTACGAATGAAGAGCGCTCGCCCGAGGCGGCAGCGCCGCAGGCGGAGGAGGAGGAGGCGGCTCAGGACGAACAGTTGGAGGGTGATCCGCCAGCAGGCGCTCGCCAGGTAGGGGAGTTCGCGGAGGTGCATGGCATCGGGGATAGCATCGTGCGTTGCAACCGCTGCTGTCGCACGGCAAAGGAGTGCAACTACAGGATCAAAGCGAAGGGTCAGTCGACTTACCAGTGCGACGCGTGCAACGCGAACGGGGTGCGCCTTTCCCGGAGGTTCGGACAGTGGCCGCCAAGTTTCGCTAAAATGAAGAGTGAGTTCAAGCAGCATTTCTACAAGGATCTGGCAGAAGATCCTGGGCTGTCGAACCTCGATCGCATTGAAGCCTTCGTGGTCAGCTCAATCACTGTCCAACGGATGGAGGAGGAGCGCGTCCGCAAGGGTGGCAAGTACCTTCCGCTGAGGAAGTGGGCGCACGACGGCTTCGACGCAAAAAAGATCGAAGCTAATGTGCAGGATAAGAAGTGGAACCCTGATCTCGGGGAGTGGACGCACAGGCCGCAATTGGAGGCGGCCTGGAGCGAGACAGCGGAGGCCGCAGTGCGCAACGAGCTCTGCACCGATAAGAGGACGCAGGCGAAGCAGAGCGGCCCGCGGGCAGCGGCCTCGACGGGCGTCGCAGAGCACGGCGGCGACAAGGGCGACAGAAGCGACGAGAGCGACATGTCCAGATCCAGGCGGCGCCGCAGGCGCAGGTCTGACAGCCCCAGGAGGAGGGGGCGCAGCATGAGCGGGCGCGACAGCAGGGGCAGGCGCGACAGCAGGAGCAGACGCCGCGACAGACGTCGCGACACCAACCGCAGCAGGAGCCGCTCGCGCGGCGACCGCGACAGGAGCAAGAGCCGCCGCAAGGGCAGGAGCAAGAGCCGCGGCAAGAGCAAGGACAGGAGCAAGAGCAGGCCGTTTGGGGCTTCAACGCAGGGGTGTCGCCCGGGCTTCGCATTCGTTTTTGGTTTCCGTTCAACTCTTCAGGTTCGGATCGGGTGATTGATTTCGCTCGGCTCGAAGTGTTGTCATTTTCGGATAACCCCGAAGGCTCCGCAGGGATGAGGACGCTGAGAAGGAGCGGAGGCGGCAGGAGGCGAGGGAGAAGGCCGAGCAGGTCAAGAAGGAGACGCAGGAGAAGAACCTGGCGCTGAAGTGGATCGGCACCGCAACGAGGCTCGAGACAGAGCTGGACGGGTACCTCGAGCATGAGAAGGCGGACAAGGTGCCGTCATGGGCTGTGAAGAACGCGAAGGCGGCGAGGAAGTCTGTGGCAGTCATGAAGGCGGTGGCGCAGAAGCGCGCGCACAGCGGCGCGGCGTTGACGATCGCGCAGGACGGGGCCATCAGCATCCAGAAGGATGCGAGCTCGGCGGCGAGGGCCATCGCGGGGATGCTCAAGGAGGCGCAGAAGCACAGCACCTGAGCGCCCCATGGTGGCCCAGTACCTCATGAAGTACGGCCTGAAAAAGGTGCCCTAGCAGGTGGGGTAGGACCCGAATAAGCCGCGGCCGCTGGGCCGCTCGTGAGCGGGGGCGGCAGTTGGACCGCTCATGACGAGGTGTGTGATTTCGTAGAATTGCTATTGTTGGTGAAACAGCATTTCTTCGTTTGGCGGGGATGCCGCCTTTCCACTCTCGCAAGCCCTTGGCGGACATGCCGCCTTGCCTTCATTTGGCGGAGATGCAGCCTTTGCTGCTCGTCGCGCTCCGATGCCTCACTTGGCGAGGCGAAACGCTTGCATAACTCCCTCCTGCTCGAGCGCGTCCTGCTCGCTCGCGAAGGCCAGCGACACCGTTGGGAATCCCATCGGTTGGCGGTCGGATACGAAGCAGAGGCGAAGCAGCTCCTTGGCAGGGGCGGCAGTTGGGCCGCTCATGACGAGGTGTGTGATTTCGTACAATTGTTATTGTTGTTGAAAAAACATTTCTTCGTTGTCATCGCCATCCCACTCGTTGCCACCGCAGCCCTTCGTTGGGCGGGGATGCCGCCTTTCCACTCTCGCAAGCCCTTGGCGGACATGCCGCCTTGCCTTCATTTGGCGGAGATGCCGCCTTTGCTGCCCATCGCGCTCGCACCGTTCTCTCGCGTTTCCCAGTGACATGATCTGCCACCGCCCCACCCCTCATCCGTAGTCTTTGTGGCTCAAGGAGGGCCGCTCGAGGTCGTGCCCCCTTCGCGGTCTTGCGCCTTCATGGCGAGCATCGCGGGCAAGTGCGACGTCGATGACATCGAGCTCATCGCGACGGATGGCAGTGCTTGGAGCTGGGCGACCATGGTGGTGCGGTTCATCGAGTGGCGCAATCGTTGCCGCCATGCACGCGCCGTTGGAGTCAAGGGCCAGATGCTCATCGACCAGGCGCGGCAGATGATGGAGGAGGCGCGCCGCACCGAGGAGAAGGGCAAGATGATGTGCGAGATGTCGAAGAAGACGGCGAAGGACATCCCAGGCAGTATTCGGCACTTCTGCCGCCAGCCGCACCAGGAGAGCTGAGCGGCGATCGGAGCTGGGCCGATAGAGGAGGATGAGGAGGAAGAGGAGGGAGGATGAGGAGAGGAGGAGGAGGGGGATGAGGAGTTGGAGGCAGCACGCGCACCCGCACTAAGAGCCGCCAGCCGCCGCCGCGCCCGCCCCGCGCTGCGCCCGCCCCGAGCTCGAGCCGCCAGCCGCGCCCGTCTCCGAGCGCTGGCGGCTTGGAACCCGAGCTTGAAACTCAAGCTCGAAATTGCGTGCGAGAAAAAGAAATCTCCCTTGCAAGTTCCGTTGCTACGCTCACTTCGCGCCTCCGCAATCTCCCCCACCCACCCCCCTCCCCCCCCCCCCTCCCCCCATGCCCCCTCGCCCCCGCGCTCTTCGGCGGCTACGCCGCCCCTCCCGACCCTTCAGGCGGCTACGCCGCCATGCCCTTCGGCGGCTACTCCGCCCCGCGATCCATTCCCGCCTCCACTTCCGTCTCTCTGGCTGCAATTCGTTTTTCTCAACCGCGCTGGGCCTCGCGCTGCCCCCCGCCCCGCCCCTCCCGCGCGCGGGCGTCGGCGCAATGGGGAAACGCGCCCTGCAGGTGGACAAGCAGGTGGAGCAGCGGGCTCGACTGCAACAGTGTCTGGCCCTGCGCGGCGTGTCCGCGGCTTTGCTCGAGCGAATCGTGACTGCGCTTGGCCATGGCGACGACGCGGGCGATGCTATAGACGTGAGCGCTCGGGCCATGCAGCGATCGCAGACGGCATCCGTGGCCGATCTCATCAGCGCAGTGCGGCTGAAGCCCAAGATCGGCACGCCTTTCCGATGGAGCGTGGCGCTGCCGCATCGGCTGATGCCGAGGCTCCTGTCGGACTGCCCTCTCTGGAGTTCAATGTTTTGGGAAGCGATGCGCCGTTTCCCTGTGTCGCACGATCGGCCGTGGAGGCTTTTGCTGTACTACGACGACATTGGCGTGGGCAACGCCTTGAAGATAGATAATCGTCGGAATCAGCTCGCGGTGTATGCGAGTTTCCTCGAGTTCGGATCCTTCTTGCAGAAGGAGGTTGCGTGGCTGCCGATCGGCACCTTGCGCGTCGTCGTGAAGAAGAGCATCGGCGGCTCGGCCGTGGCGCGGGCATTGCTTCGCGCGCTGTTCCTGGGCCCAGAGAGTCTGTCGGAGCACGGTGCGCCAATCGGCGGCGTGCACTTTTTCGCCAAGTTCCACCGCTTGATTGCAGACGAGGCGGCTGGAAAAGAGACATTCTGCACCAAGGGCGCTGCAGGTCTGAGACCGTGCTTGCAATGCAAGAACGTTGTGCTGGATCAGGCGGAATGTCTTGCAGACTACGACGACGATGATTACCTCGTGCCTCTCTGGTGCGCTGACTCGTCGCGCTTTGACCCGCTGTCGTCAGACGAGTTTTTGCAGCAATATGATGATTTGGCGTCGCTGCGGGACACGACAACCAGAGCGAACATCGAGAGACTGGAGCCAGGGAGGAAAACATTTCCATCGATCCCCTTCTGATGTCCCCCCCTTCCTTCCCTTCTGATGTTCCGGCCCCCGAAGGAGACGGCAATGGGCATCACTCTGGATGACCGTTCTCTGGTGGCGTGCCAGGCGTTGCGGACGGTGGCGCCGCCGAGCACATACGTGAGGGACCCCATGCATACCATGCTGGCCAGCGGCGGGACCTTGCAGGTCGAAATCTTTGCGCTCCTCAAGGCGGTGAGGGATGTCATCCCCGACGCGTGGGGAACGTGGCGGGATCGCTGCTCGGCGTGGCGGACTGGCAGACGCGGCAGGAAACCGCCAGCGTTTCTGTTCAGCGTGGCTCGGAAGAAAGCGACCTGCAAGGCGTCGCACTTCGTGGGCAAGGCGTCGGATTGCTTGGCCGTGTTCCCTTTGATTCGTCATTGGGTGCACACAGAGCTGCGTCCCAGCGGCATGGCGAACGCTGCGGCGCGGTCGTTCGAGGCGATGGCGAAGATGCTCGAATTGTACATGCAGGGCAAAAGGACATGCGGCCGCAGCTGAAACGCAAACGCTGGCCTGCGCGTTCGAGGATGCACCGCGTCGGCCCGCGCGCATCCTCGAGCGCTTAGGTGGCAGGCGGTTCGGCTACGTCCTGAGGATCGGCGCCGTGCCGAATTTGATAGCTGTCTGGACCAAGGCCGTTTCGATTTCCTTGGCGCTGCACAAAGCCGCGCACGGGCCAGCCCTGATCAAGCCGAAGCATCATTATTTGTGGCACGTCCCCGACCAGCCTGCGGAGGACGGCATCTGGTTGGACGCCTTCGTACTCGAGCGGAAGCACAACCTGCTTCGGTCCAGGTCGCAGGAGATCGACAACCCTGAGAATTTCGAGCGGTCGGCCTTGACGGCGATGCTCGCCTGCTTCCTGGAGGAAGCGAAGGAGGCGCCGCGCTCCCGCGCCAAAGCGTGGCGCACGCCAGAGCTGGACAGTACGTTCGGGCACTCGGGGCGCAACCTTGCATGCCCTTTGTGGAGGAAGATGGGCTGGGAGAGGGGAAGGCGGTTTGCCGCCGAGGCGGCTCGCCGCCAGGAGGAGGAGGAGGAGGAGGAGGAGGAGGAGGAGGAGGAGGAGGAACCCCTCCGCAGGGCTGAAACGTGGACCAGCAGAGAGGCGTCGATCGACGGCCAGATGTACGGCAGCCAGGACAGACGGCGCAACCAACCTTGGTATTTAGGGGTGCACATGCGTGTGCCCCCCCAAAAATCGAGGCGTTGCTGCCCTCAGGATTTTCTCCTGGGCGACGGCGAGGCGTACATCGTGCATTGCTGCGCGCAGGCTGGCGCCGCCAGCTACCTGCTGGTGGAGACCCTGGAATGGGTGCGCGCGCCATGCCCAGGCGCGTCCCTGTGGCGGCCGCGCGGCGACGTCGCCGTGATGCCCGCCGAGCTGATCCCGCCAGCCTGGGCGGCTTATCGGCGACTACAGGACGATGGCTATGTGCTCGCCATCACGTGAAAAAGGAAAAAACGAGCGCATGCGAGAGCGGATATGCCGCTGGCGGATGCGCCGCCCTTCGATAGAGAGGTGCAGGAGGGAGGGGCGGATATGCCGCCGAAGAAGGAAGGCGGGCTCGGGGAGGGAAGGCGGCAGGAGGGAGCGGGGGCGGGCTGGCCGCCGACAACGAGGAGAGGAGAGGGGAGGCGGTGATGGCCGCCGAGGGGAGGCAGTTTGAAGAATAGTTGATCCCCCCCCCTCTCCCTCTCCCCCCTTCCCCTCCGCGCCCCGCAGGCGTCCTGAGGGCGGCTCGGCGCGTCGACCTGCGGCGCCCTGTCCTGAAAAACTGTTGTGTTGTAGTTGTTAAAACGTTTTGTTGTGGTTTTTTCCCGAAACATAGCAATATCAAGAACAAACATGCAAAACATAGAAAGTTATGCAAATTTCGGGTTAACCGAATCGGACAGCCCACATCGACTTAGCTGACTTAGCTACTAAGTTGGGTATGTTGAGGTGTATGTATCGATATATCTTGGCAGTGGTACCCGATAGCTCAGTTGATAAGATGGATGGTTCTGTGAGTAGTATGTATGGTATGTTGTTGAATATACTTATCTAACAAAACGTTAAGTAGATGAATGCGAAGTTCGATATTTTATATATGTTGAATATGTGAGGTCAACTAGCATGAACCTACATACATCTTCGCTGAAACGATTTCATCGGATATACAACGCTCTTACCGCACTTACACCCACCCGACGATCAAAGCAGGGGCGGGCGCGCCGGCAGCCGCCGGCGGGACGTGAGCTCCGCCACCACCGGGGGGGCGGGCGCCCAGGAGCGCAGCCAGGCCGCCGGCCGCTCCAGCACCGACTCCCAGCACGGGCGCGCCGCCACCAGCCGGGGGCGCGGCGGCCTGGCCTGCGGCCGGGGGCCCAAGCGGGACCACCGCTCCGTGGGCGCCGGCAGCGCCTGGGCCGGCCGCGGCGG